GGGTCGGCTGAACCCCCATGGCCCACTTCTTGCGTAAGACTTGACACTTTGTATGCTGTTGTCGTGGGACTCGTAACCCATTACTGAGATTAACCACAGCGTTACCTTCATGCGTACCTTTAAACTAGTGTAATAAGTACTTTTGGGGGGGGAGTTGTTAAGAAGGGTGAATCGTTTACATTGATGACCGAAATACAATCCTACTGTTTAAAAGAACAGTCAGTGAAATTGTGTAAAAAGACAAATTGGACGCTTGATAGCGCTTTATGTAGTAGAATATATGTTAAAACTGAAAACTCAGACGTAGCAAAAGAAAAGAAAAGAAAAGAAAAACTTATATGAGGTGATGGGCTGGAGAACCCGACTTCCTCCGGGCACTGAGTGACGGGGTGGAGTACGAGCCGTTGAACTAACAAGGTGTTTCTCCTGTCATCACACCATGGTATAAAGTGCCTCCTCGGTACCTGCACCACTTTCCCAGGTAAGTAGTCCGCTTTCTCCTAGGTTTCAGCTGCGTGTAATATGTATTTATTTGCACAATGTACACACACACACACACACACATATATATATATATATATATATATATATATATATATATATATATATATATATATATATATATATATATATATATATATATATATATATATATATATATATATATATATTATATTTATATTTATATAGGCACACATGCGCAAAGCTCACTAGGAAAGTTGTAGTCATCTTCAGTAACTTTCACCACTGAAGGGAAGACAGCGACATGTGGGGAGGGTATTTCTGTCTCTGCAAGTTTCAGCGAGCTTGGAATAAAATTAGTCGAGGGTCAGACAGGGCAGAGCGTTCTTGAAGAGCTGATGCCATTAGGATAGAACTACGATTAAGACTGGAACCCATTCGATTTATGTCCCCTTAGCACAGGGACCCATTAGGACTGAGACCCTTAAGTTTTTGGCCCATTAGGACTGAGACCCTTAAGTTTTTGGCCCATTAGGACTGAGACCCTTAAGTTTTTGACCCATTAGCATTGAGATCCACTAGGTACTGTACTAGGACATTTCAGCACTGGAACCCATTTGGTCTAAGCCGTAATTCTAAAAAGGTTGTTAGGTTTGGGTTGTAATTAGGACTGGGGGCCCACTTGACCAGTTAGTGACCGCCCTCTTGGTGTTTCTAGGATATATATTGTATGTAGTTTAGAGGGAGAATTTGTTAATAGTGAATTGGCTGGTTTTAGAGGAGGTTTTTATCCTGTAGTCCTTAAGGCCATTATTTTAGTCTTGGAAAAGGAAAGGTACAATAAGTTTGGAAGAGAATTGATTGATATTGGGAGCGAATTTTTGCAATTTTTGTATTTCAGAATTTTTTTGCCATTTTTTGTATTTATAACCATGGAAGGGAATTTGACGATTGTAGCTGCAAATATGGTCTTTCGGTCACATGTCTTAAAGAGCGAATTCGTTCGTTGAATTTCCCCCGTAACTGGAGGTGTAAAGAACTCGCCTAGCGAACTGGTAGACTTAAGCTATAACACACACACACACACACGTAACCCCTAAAATGGCATCAAACACAATCCTAAACTGGATATATACGATACAATTGGGAACTGAGTCGCGTATACTGTACTTCGAGAACCTTCGTGCAGCTGTAGTGAACCTTCGTGCAGGTGTAGTGAACCTTCGTGCTGCTGTAGTGAACCTTCGTGCAGCTGTAGTGAACCTTCCTGCAGCTGTAGTGAACCTTCCTGCAGCTGTAGTGAACCTTCATGCAGCTGTAGTGAACCTTCATGCAGGTGTAGTGAACCTTCATGCAGCTGTAGTGAACCTTCGTGCTGCTGTAGTGAACCTTCGTGCAGCTGTAGTGAACCTTCCTGCAGCTGTAGTGAACCTTCATGCAGCTGTAGTGAACCTTCATGCAGCTGTAGTGAGAATAATGTTACGTCTTCTTGGTGGATGCGGTGGATCTCAACGTGGATATTTTACTGTGTGGCTTAAGGAGTTGGCTTTGCAACGGATATTTTGTGAGTGTGTGGTCGGATTTACTCAGAATGGGGAGAATTGTGTGATGGTGTGGTCAGATTTAGTAATTATGGGGAGGATTTTGTGATGGTGGTCACATTTAGTCATTATGGGTAGGATTTTGTGGTCTGATTGTGTTATACAGGGAAGAATTGTGTGATAGTGCTGCCCGATTTAGCTGCATGGAATCGAACATTTTGAGAGAGTGGCCAGATTTAGGGTTGAAATGGTGATAGTTTTGTCAGATTTAGTTATTATGAGGCGAACTGTGTGTTAGTCTGGTCAGATTTATTTATAGTAAATTGATATTTTTGAAATTGGCCAGATTTAAGTGGACTTAGTGTGGCCAAATAGACGCACTGTGTGTGTGTGCGTGTGTGTGTGTGTGTGTGTGTGTGTGTGTGTGTGTGTGTGTGTGTGTGTGTGTGCGCAGAGTAAGAGAGAGATAAAGAGACAGACAGACAAACATACAAAGG